ATTCATTTCACATAGAATTGTTTTGGTCAAGATGTATTATGTCTACTTGTAACATTTTTTTTGGGTTTTATTGTAGAATTATAAATTATATTTATATAAAATTTATAGTAAGGTATTATTAGTAATTAATGATAAAAATTTGTAACTGAAAGATAAGTGTTAATGTAAATTTAATGCAAAAATTGAATAGTAAATACGTTAATTAAAATTTATATTTAATTACGATATATTATTATAATTAAATAACATTTTTATTAAAGTCACGATATGTTTTTGTAATTAAATAAAATTTATATTAAAATTAAAGATTTCATAATAATATATATTTGATTGAAATGTATAAATGTAAATAAAATTATATAATGAATGCAGTAGTGATCTTATATAATTAGTAATGATATAGTTTTTTAAATAGAGAATTTAAAATATCTATTAAATCATTTTTAGTTGACATTTATATTAGAGTACAATAGAATGAATTAAAGAAATGAATGAATAAACTCATAAATTTGAATTTTTATTCTAAAAATTAAAACTAAGAGTTAATGAATATCCGCATTATATTTACATATTCGTCCAATAAAAAATTATCATACCATGATGTTATTTATGGTATTTCAGAGGTGTTTTATAAAAATAATTATCAAATATTTTTTTATTTGATACTAATCTCTTTTTTCTAAAATTAATCAAATTGATAAAATCAAATTAATATTTATATATCACTGACTAAAAGAAATCCAATAAAAAAAAAATCTCTAATCAACTCTCATCCATTGTGGTCATTCAGTAAGTGATTGATCCTTCTTTTTCGTATCTATTTTGGTACCAAATATTTTCATGCTAAATAATAACAATTGCGAATGAAAAAACAGAGGAAAAAATCCAGTTAAGATCTATTAGCAATTGCATTGTTCAATCTCAATTAACACACTCTTTCTTTGTAGGTTGTTACTTAAAAACAAATTGCGCCTTAATTTAAAAAATAAAATAAAATCTAAAAGTTCTATCTATGATTGATTTTTCAAATCTTGTGTAATTAATATCATTATTTTTTTTACCTTAATCAAAATCTCCTTTCTGTTTTCAATTTCTCTTTTTCTATATACATAATAAGATTTTCGGATTTCTCTTGATTTGATAATTGATTTCCACAGTTTCCACGTTGTTTTTGTGTATTGAATCTCAAACTCAATTTCCATGGCTACCTCTGATCTCTCATTGCTTTTGCCAAGAGTTCTTATCGTTTCTCGACGTACCATTCGCAAAAACAAATTTGTAGATTTTGTTGGTAATAATACTCTCTTACTCATTTTATTTCTAGTTATTATTCTTACAATTATCAGCCTCTTAGGTAACCTTGTTTAACTCATTACTTTTGTGTGTGATCTTATTAAAAAATATATAACAGATTTATTTCTGCTCAACTAACAGATTATAGTTTCTTCTATTAAGTAGAGGATATCCTATTTATAAACAAACAATTATTGTATTGAATTAAATTTAACTGATAGTACATTGAATTGAACAGGTGAGTATCATCTTGATCTGATTGTAAGATATGGAGCTGTTCCAATCATTGTTCCTAGAGTCAGTGGAATTCACACTCTCTTAGATAGCTTTGAGCCTATCCATGGTGTTCTTCTTTGTGAAGGTGAGGACATTGATCCCTCTCATTATGATGATCCTGAACTATGTGGACTTACACCTCAAGAGCTTGAGGCTATTAGGGAGCTTCACCCAAGTGATGCTGTCATTGATAAAGAGAAAGACTCCATTGAGCTAAGCCTTGCAAAACTCTGCCTTGAAAGAAATATACCTTATTTGGGTATATGCAGAGGCTCTCAAATTCTTAATGTTTCATGTGGAGGCACACTTTACCAAGATATTGAAAGAGAGATAGGGGAGAAAAACCATGAACTTCTAAGAGTGGTTCACATGGACTATCTAAACTATGATGGTCATCGACATTCCATAAATGTTATCGCAGACACCCCTTTGCATGATTGGTTTAAAGATTCTTTTGTCGATCAGAAAACGGAGATCATGGTCAACAGTTACCACCATCAAGGTGTTAAGAGACTGGCACAAAGATTTGTTCCAATGGCATTTGCTCCAGATGGTTTGGTTGAAGGATTTTATGATCCTGATAATTATAGTCCCGAAGATGGTAAGTTTATCATGGGACTTCAGTTTCATCCAGAGAGAATGAGGAACCATGAGAGTGATGAATTTGATTATCCTGGATGCAGTATGGCTTATCAGGTACATACACTTTTTGTTCTTACTCTTTTTCCAATGCATGTGAAATTTCTATAAGAAATAAAATTGAAAATTTTTTGTTAATGTTTGTGAAATAGGAGTTTGCAAAAGCTGTGATAGCTTATGAGAAAAAACTTAGCAGCTCAATACTTGTCCCCAAGTCTCCAAAGCTAAATGAGGAACTGGAACAGAAGAGAAAACAGATTGTGGAAAGCTTTTCAGTTGCTAGAGACATGTATAAGTCCGATTCTCATGTCGATGTGAACCAAAGTTCTGAACTTAAACCAGGAGCAGACTTTCTACAGGTTACTCAAAAGCTCTACTCCTTACATGGATTATGTCGCTAAAGTGTATAAAAACCCGTCATGTTGGTTCATAACGTCTTAATAGCACAGACTGTATTGCTGAATTTTATATACTTTAGAGACTAGTTAGTATAAAATCGGTTTATGTTTATGTGATAACGTTTGGTTTTACAGGCAAGTACAGCACTGAGTTTGCAGCAGGAGAATAGACTAAAGCAGGTTGGTGCAACATATAGAAATGGTTCAAGTTATGCACAAAAGATGAAAATGAATCAGGTGAGGGAGAAGGCTGCTAGGAACATGATGTGGAATATGTCTGTGGAACAGTTAACAGAATTGGTGTCTTTTTATGGATTGATGCATCAGATATGTTCTGAGACAATTGACAGAAAGATGAATGAACTAGTTGTAGAAGAAAGTTGACAGTAAAACAGTAGAATTATAAGTGTGCAGAAAATTTTGATATATTTTTGGTATGTTTTTTCTTCATTTCAATTTGATAGAGACACAATATTATCATTTTGTTTTATTTCCTTTAGTCAGTTAGTGAAATACTGAGGATTTTTTTTCTTTTCTAACTTGAAATAGACTTTCAACATTTGTAAACAGAATAGTTATCCACTAAAATGGAGTTACCTGAGGTATACAGAATATTTTAACATGTCTTAATGTTATATCCTAAGATCAACTTTGTGTGGCATTATAGAATTGTGCATTATTTTCGTAGATGATATTGACTTGGTTGTAGAGGTGAGAAAAATAAATCAACAGCTAAATAATGAAGTCGATGAAATAGTTTTTTTTATCAAAGTCGATGAAATAGTTGGTTTCTTGTATGTCAAGACAATCAATTTGATGCAATGAAATTGAAAAAAAAAAACTTTGATTCTTATTTTTTTTGTGATTCCCCTCTTGTAAAACAAAGATTCTGTTTCTTGACACCCATATTCTATAATAAGAAAATTCTTTACCACTGCGCCATGATAATTCATTTGTTATATTTGCTCATGAATGTTATATATTATATATATTTTTCATAAACACAATATAAAACCAGTTTTGTATCTTCTTTCCTAATTTAAAAATGTTTGTAACACAGAGAACATCAGAAATCAAAATACTCATATGAAAACAATTAAATGATTTTGTATGGTAGTTAACTTGATTTTGATACCTATGAGTTGTGAAGTCATATGATTCTAAGAGTTAATGCTTGAGAGTTTGACAGCCACAATTATAAGCAAATACAGGAAATGAAAACAAAAAAGGTGTATAACACCAGACAAGCCTTAAACTTTTAAGAGCCACCACACCGTGTTGTTTGAGTTGACAATACTTCCAACAATAGCTCTAATACACTAAATCTGCTACCAATAGATTTTAATTACAAAAACTTCAAAGCAACAAAATAAAGAATTTCTAGAAACGTTTTGGGGTTGGTTGTAAGCAACTAAGGGCCTATTTGAAACTGTTTTAAAAAACAGTTTTATAGTTTTTAAAAGTTGAAAAACAAAACACTTGTTTGATACACTTGTTTCTCAAAACTGTTTTTAAAAATACTTATGAAATTGACTGTTTTAAAATCTAAAAACTGGAACTATTAAAATATGTTTTGGTTTTCAATTTTCTGTTTTACTTTTCAATTTTCAATTGTGGTAAGCTATAAATACAGATTTTAAAAACTAAAACAGAAAAGTGATTCAAACAGGCCCTAAATCTGCTAGTGTTTGGTATGAAAAATGTTTTCCAGAAACGTCTTGGGTTTGGTTGTAAGCAGTAAAGAATTTCCTAATTTTAGTGACAATCTAAAGAAAATTCTATCCTACTTAATTACAACAAGAACTAAAATTTGGAAAAACACGATCAACAAAATGAGCCAGTGGAAAGAGAAGTTGACATGGAAGATATATGCAACTCCAACTACTATGCTACTTTGCATTAACCGATAAGCCCGAGAGATTTGTTATGTTTCCAATTTTTGTTCTAATAACAAGTTTTTGTCAAAAATGAATTGCTGATCCCAAAGACAGTTTGACTATAACTTGGAATTCCATACATAAATAACACATTTAATGGAGAAAACTAGAAAGACAAAAACTTCTCCAAACACAAAACTTGGGCCAGCACATTGTCCTTTGGAATGTCCAAATTTCCAATCTTCTATAAGAGTATGGGAATACTGCAAAGCAGTGAAAACACAAACATATTATCAGCAGAATGAAAAATGATATAAAGGGAGGCAATTTGTTTTAGAAGAAAAAAGTAAAATCCAATAATATCACAGGCATTATAGTAATTTAAATTAAATTGCCTTTTACGCATAAAAGAAATGTTTACAAAATCACATTATTTAACAATAGCTGCCAACATTTTCATTCTAAAGAAATTACCTGCCCAAACCATCAACTTCTACTTGCCACCACGCTTAAATTTTCAGGTTGTCTTTCCATATGCTTTAAGCCTCAACACTGGTAACTTTAAATTAGCCATGTTTTCCCTTCTCTTGGCTTTCCTTGATTTTGATTTTGATTCTTCTGTGTTTGCTTTATCATCCTCCACAACATTGTTTGATGCATTAGCTTTTTCGTCCTCAACAGCATTGATTGATGAAGTTATCTTGCCAGAATCAATCTTTGACTTCTTACTTTTCTTCTTACCAATACTTGCTGCACGAAGGATCTCCTTAGTCCTCATCTTCAGCATGTATTTCTTTTGTTTGCTAAGCTTCCATTCCTCCTCTTGGTAAGGAGCAAGTTTTTTCAAGGAAATATATTGATTCAATTCCTTGTCATCCATCAGTAGTATCTCAGGGGAACCAATGCCAAATTTGTTGGGCTTTGTTTTGGCATACTTGAATCTTGTTTTCAGGTCCCCAATTGTGTCCTCGTAATCTAGTTTATAGTACTCATCCATCATTGCCTGTCTAGCTTTCTCCAAAAGTGCTGTTTTACGCTTCCTCTTCCGCCTACTACCTTCGTCAGGAATTTCATCTTTTTCATTTTCACCTTCAACGACATCATCATCATCACTAATAATCTCGGGCTTTTCTTTCAAAGCTTTTTCTCTTGCAGCCAAAAACCCGCCATCAGATCCAGATTCATCCCAGCCTTTAGGAAGCCCAAGTAATTCATCCTCTTTTTCAAAATCCGGCTTCTCCGTGTCTTCTTCGTCCTCACTACAAAATTCAGGGTCAGCATCCTCAGCATTATAATACTTATCATCAAATGCTTTCTTCATCATTCTATCATACTCCTCTGGGTCAAACTCCTCTTCTAATTCTGCAGCAGACAAAGGGATAACATCATCATCATCGATCCCTGCAGTTTTCATAATCTTTTTAACCTTCTCCCGTATCTCCTGCTTCTTGACATTCTTTAAATGCTTCAACTCCTCCTCCCTTTCCTTTTGTGCTATTGCCATTCTCTCCTCTTTGCTCTTTCTCTGCTCTTTCCTTGTATTTGTCTTTTTCCTCACTGACCCCTCCACCTTACGAGCATGACCCAACACTCTATCTCCCGGATTTTCCTGAAATCTATGCTCATACTCTTCCTGCCTCTCAATTTCCATCTCATCCTCTGAAATTTCTTGAAAATCTTCCTCTCCGACATTCGGATTCCCCACATTCTTGCCTATCCACATTTTGTTCTTGAAATAGTCTCTTAGAAATTTAGAATTTTCATTTGCTTCTGCATCTCTACCGAAATATTCATCCAGTTTCTCAACAAGTTCCTCGTCTTCACTCTCTACTTGGTCTTCACCTCCCTTCTCTTTCACTTTGAGAAATTCCACATCCCCGTCTTCTAAACCATCCTTTTCTACTGCTTCAAGAAAAGCCCTTTTCAACGCCTCTTGCTCATCAACATAACTCTTCTTCCCATCCCTATTCACAAAACCGGTCTCTTCCTGACTCAAAGACATCGCCTTTTTACCCTTACTACTCTTTGGTACACCTTTCTCTTCTTCTTCATCGCCAAAATCCGCCCCCTCCTCAATCAAATGCTTTGCCACCACATCCTTCAAATACATTTTCTTTTTCTCCTTATCTTTCGATTCACTCATCCCATCCTTTCTTTCATCTCCACTACTATGATCAGATTCAAAAAGCTTCACATCTTTTTCCTTAAGAACAGGATCCTTCTTCTTCACCTTAATCAAGGCCTCAAAGAATTTCTTATCACTCCTAGAATCAAAACTTTTCTCAATATCATCATCAGACGATCCAGACTCCGATTCATCATCTTCCGAATCAATAACACCCTTCTTTTTTAATTCCTCAAAACGATGAAGATCCTCCCGCCTCTTGTTATGCTCAAACCTGCGAGCATAATCCTGATTTATCTCAATTTTCGAGATATCGTCATTTTCCGAATCACTGCCACCAAAAAGGTCCATGGAAATTTCTTACACTGTGACAACACAAACTGCTACAACTATATCTGAAATGCAAATTCCCAGAAGATGAGATATGCATACAATTGAAAATAAATATTTCACTAGCAATTATTAGGTTGATAAATGAAATTCAATTAATCTGTTTATTATACATGGTGTTGGTGAAACCAATACAAACCCTAAAAAACGAAAATTTAGCTACTATAAAGTGAGATTTGGAGTTATTAACTATTGATTGATCAGAAAAAGTAAAGGTTGTGATTTATGTTAAGAATCATGAGAGTGAGAAAAAAGGGTAAACCTGGATTTCTCGTTGTTTCTGGCAGGCGAAGAGCAACTACGTTAGCGTTTCCGGGTAACTTTTGCTTTTTCCGGCGAGTGGAGTTCAGGAGCCGCGGATTTGTTGATTTAGGGTTTTGATTTTTGAAAGGGTTCGGAAATGTGTTTACTTTTGTCTTTTCAGAATGATGGGCCTACTAAAAAGGATTTGGATTGGGCTTGACATTAGATTGTATCAATAAGGGAAATACCTTCTCTCGGGTCTTGTTCAGAATTTCTAAAATGTCTTTTATCTTCGAAGATATATCTCTGAATGCATCATTTTTTTTCATTTTATCTAAAAGGTTAATTCATAGATGTATCTGAGAAAGGATTTTAGGATATGTTTGCAAATACATCTCTATATTATTATCATTTTTTAATTTTAAAAAAAATCGGAGATATATCTCCGAACAAAGCAAATTTATAAAGAATTTTGCATCATTTGAGCTCTGTGAGCACCATAGTTTCAGTCAACTTTTGAAGAAATATAAGAACCTCTACTTTTATCTTGGCAATTCCAACGCACTTTAACTACTACATTCAACATTTTGCTTCCTCATCAATACATTTTTGAGTAAGTTTCTCATTTAACTTATTTTGAGTTTTAATTAATGTATTAGGTCAAATAGATCACTTTTAATGCTTTGGATAGTATTAGCATTTGAAATAGATAATGTGTAAGAGGCGTTTCTATCGTTTAGATGATATATATGAATTTTGAATGGTTAGGGCAAGTGCAAAGATGTTTTTGCCATTGAAATAAAAAATGAAGCTTTTTTTGGAGATGTATCTCCGAATTGAGTTGTTTTTTATGTTTGGAGATATATCTCTGAATTCTTTCCTTCCTGGTGCACTAATGTGTTTTTTGATGTTTTTTCAAGGATAATGGTTGCAAAGAACGATAGGATGAGACTCGGAGCAAAAATTCCCTTTTACACTGACACGACGACCTCCCTGAAGGCATGACGCACGTCATGATGTGGCAAGGTCAAAGGCGTCAACATAAAAGAAAAAATTAAAATAATCTGAGCGTCAGTTGAATGACGGGTAAGGCGTCACCAGATGACGCCTGTCATGAGTCTAAAATCGAATTTTTTTGCCCAGTTCAGTTTGAGGCCTTCTTCCACTCTCCGTCTATTTCTCCATTATCTTTCACACATTTTGAGTCACTTTGTACGAGATATAACTTTATAAATAGGTATTTTAGAATTCAGTTTTATCATCAAAGTTTGTAGAATTTACTTTGCAGGGAGAAATTCAGTTTTGTAAAAGTGCATATTTGTTCACACCGAGTAAAAAGTACACGTTAGAATTAAGTTTTGTAGGTCATCTGTTTGTACTTGGATCTTAAAAATTGTAATCCAGCCGACGTTTGATTTTGAGCAATTTATTCAAAGATTATTTAGTACCAATTGTAGAGCTTTATTCTTATGTATTATGTGATCTCTATTATTTATATATTTCTAATATATATTGTTTTTGTTACTTTTACATTACTTGCATGTGTCAATGTTGTATGCTTAGAACTTTATAATTAAGTTTTATTTATTATTTGTGTTTTGTTTGTAACATGTTCGGCTAAATTCTCATAGTCTGGAATGTGAGGACCATCGTACCGACAATATATGCATTTAAGTCGTAGAAATTATGATTAAGTTGGGATTATTGCAGGGACTGGTTTTTAATCTATTTTTAATTAAAATGTTTATTGCGAAAGTATAACTTAGAGATATTGGTTCCGATTTGAAAGAACAAAACCTATATCCGACTTGGATAAAAATCAGATTTTAATTATAAGCACTGCGAAAGCATTTTTTTAATTAATTTATAAAAATAACTATTTTCAAAAATATTAAGAACATAAAGGGACACGCGAAAGCGGGTGTTTATGCAATTAAAATATGGTATTAGACGATGTGAAAGCCGGTAATACCTTTAAACTTATTTTTCACTTTAAAATAACTTTTTCAAATAATCATAAGTAATTAATTTTCAAAAATAAAGGTTTACACTTTAACAACGTTGAACACGCGAAAACGGCAACATAGATTTTAGGATAAAACTCAGTTTCGATTATGCAAAAGCAAATGGTTCCTTTAAATTAATTATTTTATTATGAGAAAATATTATTCCGATTTAGTTATAGAAAAATACGACTTTGTGAGTATTATTGGTCGATATGAGTCGCATTTTGGTCTCCGTCTTTATATTAATTTCTTAAACTAGCTTATTTTAGTTATTTTGCATCCATAACTATTTCTCATAGCCTTAGATTTATATAGTAACGACATATAAGAATACACTTGATAATTGGTTTATGTGGTTCAATATTCTTTTATATTACTACGATATTTTGGTACACTTGCGAAGTTATCAAGTTTTTTGGCGTCGTTGTCGGAGATCAAATTAGTCAATATTGTGACTCTGTTGTTGTGTAGTATAAACTAAGACACTTTTTGTTATTTTTCCCCCTTTCATCGGTTGTATGCCAAATACTCACGCTTCTGAGCATGAGCTAGAACAACCTATTGACGAAGTTGAGCATTTCTTTCATTTGAAACGCCAAATCGAACAACTTTGTGCCCAATCCACTCATATGGATGTGAACAATAATCGTCCTCTTAAGGACTACACCGTTCCATCCCAAGATGAGTCGCACTCGATCATTGCCCCTCTTGCCATTCAGGCAAACAATTTTGAGTTGAAACCTTCTCTATAGCAAATCGGGGAGCATAACTAATTCTCTAGTAACCCAACAGAGGACCCCAAATTACATCTTTATATGTTTGTGTAGTACGCAAACACGTTGAAAAGTAGTGGTGTCGATACAGAGGCCATTAGATTATGTCTCTTCCCATTTTCCATTGAGGGACAAAGCCAAAGCCTGACTGCAGTCACTGCCATCAAATTCCATCACTACATGGAATGAACTAAAGAAGTAATTCTTAGCATGCTACTTTCTACCGAGCAAAACAACTATGCTAAGGATCCAAATAAATTGTTTTAGACAGAAAGATGGTGAATCACTTTTTGAAGCTTGGGAGAGATATAAAGATATGATGAGGCTCTCCCCTCATCATGGTTTAGAGAAGCGGTTGATTATCCACACCTTTTACAATGGTCTTATGTACAATATAAGACTGACCATAGACACCGCAGTTGAAGACGCACTAATGGACAAACCCTTTCAGGAAGCCTATCAACTTATAAAAAATATGGCCCAAAATCACTATTAGTGGGGAAGTGAGCATGCTTCTGTAGAAAAGTCCCAACCAAAGGGGGGCATGTGCGAAGTAAATGGCATCGACCACATCAATGCTAAAGTAGACGTCCTTACTTAAAATATTGTCATTGATACCGAATTACTAATTAGACAATAATACCCTCAAAGAAGTACCCGAGAGAATAATCGCTCAAATTTCAAAAGAGTCACCACCGAAGTTTATTTTTAAAAGGGAAAACATTTATAAAACCCTAAAAGAATAAAATTATGGTCATCACAATCAAATTCAGGTTTGAAAGTCAATTATGTGTGGAGAAGGTATTAGCACCCCACGGCATCCGTTGTATCCAACGGGAACTATTTAATCAACTTTGTGAATATGAATGTTAGACTAAGGTATCTTTAATTTCTTCTAACAATTACGACATATTTACAACTAAAAAAAAGACATAAATGGGGAAAATAAGTTTTTAATTAGGGTGATTAACGATATGTTAGATCTCACTATCCTCAACTGCGATGGGGAACTCAAATATACGTAGTTCTGGGTAGAAAAAGTTTGTTTGTTGGTTGATTTTAATTGTAAAAATGAGTTTAGGCGCGCTTGGGCGGTAAAAAGACTCATTAATTGAAAAAGGTTCACGCTGGGGCGATAAATAATGTTTGAAATAAAAGACTCGCGTTGGGGAGATAAAGAACTGAACTTAATTGGTTGTAGTTGCTTTTAGGTTGAAGATGAGTATCTAGAAGGCAAGCAAATTTTTTTCAACCATGGTAACTCTTTGTATATTTCGGTAATGGCAATGAACTCATCCTCTGTAGTAGACAATGCTACACAATTTTGTAATATGGACTACCAAGCTATAAACCCCCTACAAATTTAATCACGTAGCTCAAAGTAAACTTTATGGAATCAATGTCTCCAGCTATATCATAGTCCGAGTACTCTACTAAAGTAGGTTTATCTCCTCTGAAACAAAGCCTCGTACAAGTAGTACCGCAAAGATACCTTAAAACCTATTTTACAATATTCCAATTCTCTCTACCTAGATTTGACAAAAATCTATTGATTGTACCAACATCATGTGCTATATCTGGTCTTGTACACATCATTGCATACATAAAACTACCAACAACAGACATATAAGGAACACATTTCATATCAAGCGCTTCATCTTCACTTGAACGAATTTGATTAAAAATCAACTTAAAATAAGTAGCAAGAGGAGTGCTTACCACCTTAGAGCTTTCCATTTTGAATCTTTGCAGCACTCTTTCAATATAATTTTCTTGTGACGTCCAAAGTTTATTCTCCTTTGTGTCACATATGATTCTAATGCCATGAATTTGTTTAGTTGCTCCCATGTCTTTCATGGCAAACGACTCTTCCAACAGCTTCTTTTACCTTCCAATGTTAGAAATATTTTTCCCTATAATGAGCATATCATCAATATAT